CAAGGCCTCCACCAGACTGAGTCCAGTACAGCTAGATGGTGCCCGGCTACCACCACTGACTGCTCTGACCAGGATCACAACAGAGAATTCTGGACAGAGCTGGAGAAGGATGTGGAACAAAATTCTAACTCACAAAAAAAGACCAGACATACTGGCCTGAAAGAGACTGGAGAAACCCTGAGAGTATGCCCTGCAGACACCCTTTTAGCTCAGTGGTGAAGTCACATCCGAGGTTCACCATTCAGTGGGAGACTGGATAGCTCCATTAAACAAAATGGGACTAATGAACCACAGCAGTCCAGGGACAAGGACTAGAAGATAGAAGGGACAGGAAATCTGGTGATAGGGAACCCAACGTTGGGTAAGGACTATGTTGACATGTAGTGGGGTTGTTAACCATTGTCATAGGGCAACATGTGTACTAACTGTTTAATAAGAAACTATTTTGTTCTGTAAACCTTCATCTAAAGTGAGAACAGCAGCACAACTGGAAGAATGTAATCAATGTCACTGAACTGTGCATGTAGAAATTTTTGAAATGATGTATCTTTGGCTATATATATTTTCACCAAAAGAAAAAAAAAGGTCAAGAAGGGAGAGGGTTGACATGTCGTGGGATTGTTAACCAATGTCATAAAACAGTATGTGTACTGACTGTTTACTGAGAAACTATTTGTTCTGTAAACCTTCACCTGAAGTACAATTAAAAAAAAAGAAAAGCTAGAAATAGAAGTACCATACCATCCTGCAATCCCGCTCCTTAGAATATATCCTAGAGAAATAAGAGCCGTCACATGAAGAGATATATGCACACCCATGTTCATTGCAGCACTGTTCACAATAGCAAAAAGACGAAAACAATCTAAGTGCCCATCAACTGACGAATGGATAAACAAATTATTGTATATCCACACAATAGAATACTACACAATGATAAAGAACAACAGTGAACCCGTGAAACATAACATGGAGGAATCTTCAAGGCATTATGCTGAGTGAATTTAGTCAGTCACAAGTATTGTATAGACCACTATTATAAGAACTCAAGAAAAGCTTCAAACACAGAAGAAAGATTCTTTGATGGTTACAAGGGTGAGGAGGGTGGGTGAAGGTTATTCACTAACTAGATAGTAGACAAGAATTCTCTTAGGTGAAGGGAAGGACAGCACACACTACAGGGGAAGTCAGCACAACTGGACTAAATCACACCTAAGAAGTTTCCCAAATGCAAACACTTTCAGGGACAGAGTAGCAGGGGTGGGTGTCTGGGGACCATGCTTTGAGGGGACATCTAGGTCAATTGGCATAAGAAAGTTTATTAAGAAAATGTTCTGCATCCTACTTTGTTGAGTGGCGTCTGGGATCTTAAAAGCTTGCAAGTGGCTGTCTGAGATGCATCAATTAGTCTCAACCACCTGGAGTAAAGCAGAATGAAGAACACCAAAGACACAAGGAAAGTATTAGCCCAAGAGACAGAAAGAGCCACATAAACCAGAGACTTCATCAGCCTGAGACTAGAAGAACTAGATCGTGCCCAGCCACCACCCATGACCGCCCTGAGAGGGAACACAACATAGAGTCCCTGATGGAGCAGGAGAAAGGTGGAGTGCAGAACTCGAATTCTAGTAAAAAGACCAGACTTAATGGTCTGACTGAGACTAGAGGAAACCAGGAAAGCATGGCCCCCAGATTCTCTATCAACCCAGAACTAAAACCATTCCCGAGGCCAACTCCTCAGACAAAGATTGGACTGGACCATGGGACATAAAATGATACTCGTGAAGAGAGTGCTTCTTAGCTTAAGTAGATACATGAGGCTAAACAGGCAGCTTCTGTCCGGAGGTGAGATGAGAAGGCAGAGAGGGTTAGGAGCTGGTTGAATGAACATGGGAATCGGGTGGAAAGGAGGAGTGTGCTGTCACAGTATAGGGAGAGCAATTAGGGTCACATAACAATGTGTGTATAAATCTTTGTATAAGAGACTAACTTGAAATGTAAACTTTCACTTAAACTGCAACAGTAAACAAACAAAATTACCTCAGGGCAATAGTCTCCATGGTTCATGCAACCTCAATGGCTCCAGATAGTCTGGATTCCATAAGAATTTGAAATTTTCTTCTGCATTTTCCCACTTTTGATCAGGATTCTTCTATAGAATCTTTGATCAAAATGTTCAGTAATGGTAGCTGGGCACTAAACATGTTGTTTCTTACTCTCTTTAAGTCACTTTTATTTTTCCCTACAGCTTCCTAACTGCATGAATTTCTCTTTGAACAATTGATCTTAATAAATCTTTGATTTAGAATTACTTGTTGAATTTGAGTTTTGGCTAGCACAGTGTTGAATACATTTTTTTAAATGAATGACTAAATTTATACATGCTGTGGTGAGTTTTAATTCATAAATTCCACTGTCTGTAAATTTTTTTTATTATTATTCCTTAGCTTACTGATGTCCTTATTAATGAAATCTTATATGGAGCTGATGGAACCAATATCAAGTGTGGCGTTATTGGAGAAATTGGTTGCTCCTGGCCTTTGACTGCAAGTGAAAGAAAAGTTCTTCAGGCAACAGCTCAGGCCCAGGCTCAGCTTGGCTGTCCTGTTATTATTCATCCTGGAAGGAATCGAAGTGCACCGTTTCAGATTATCCAAGTATTGCAAGAAGCAGGTGCAGACATTTCTAAAACAGTTATGTCACACCTTGATAGGTAAGCCAACTACCTTACAAATTAGTGCCAACTATCAAACCCACCCACGGGTGAGTCAGAAGAAAGAGCTGGCATTCTGCTTCCATCAGGTCACAGCCACGAAAACCCCATAGAGCACTGCTACTCTGCATACATGGGGTCGCCATGAGTCAGAATCGACTTGACCACAACTGGTGGTTGTTGTTCTTATTTGCTGTCATTTCCAACTTATGGTAACAACTGGTTCCCAGATGATTGGTGGATGATCAGATAAACAAAATCATCAGTAATCAGATCAATAAAATGCTAATCACCTAGAGAGAACCACTACCTGGAAGATAGTATAAAGTTTTACAACTGATACAAAAGGCATTGCTGTCATTTACACGTCCTTACTCTGTGTCAGATAGTATCCTAGGTGTTTTGCAGAAGTCATGTCATTTAATTTATTTAATTTCTCATAACCCTTCATAGTAAGTGTCACTTTCTACTTCAGTTCTTTATCTCAGGGTATGATATCACAGTAGCTGTCAATTCCCATAGAGTGATATATTTATCTACTAATATACAGGGAAGGGAAGGTGGATGGTTTCATCCTGAGAAGAAAACTACAAATATAAATGTCCATGTTGTGTCACTTGTTGTGACCTGTGGTTTGAATCATCTGAATTTGGAAAATGTAATATCAAAAAATAATAGCAATATGTATAGCTTTTGGTTGGTGGTATTGTGTATTAGTTGCCTATGTATTCTGTGGCAAATTACAACAACATGGGTAGCTTAAAACAACAGAAATTTTTCCCTCACATTTGTGGAGGCCAGAATTCCTGATTCAAGGTGTTGGCCAGGTCACGCTCTCTCCAAAGGCTCTTGGGGAGAATCCTTCCTTGCTCTTCCAACTCCTTGTGGCTCTAGGCATTCTTTGGTTTGTGGCTGCATAATTCCAATCTCCCCTTCGTCTCTGTGTCAGTTTCCCATCTTCTTTTATAAGGATTTGTAATTAGATTTAGGGCCCATTCTAATCCTAGATGATTTCATCTTGATATCCTTAATCTAACTGCATCCATCTGCAAAGACCCTTTTTCCAAATAAAGTCACATTCACAGGTTCCAGGGGTTAGAATATGGGCATATCTTTTTAGAGGCCACCATTCAACCTACTACATATTGTATTAGATGTGTAGGGGCTAGGAAAACAATCAACTATATAAACAGATGTTGGTTGCTGTGAATTTTATGAATAATCCTAACAATGTTGCTAAGGTTAGTCATTAGCCTTTAGTTAATGTATTAAGGAATTAACTCAATACCAGATTAGTACCCTGGTGGCACACTTGTGTCCCACAGGGTCACTATGAGTCAGAATCAACTTGATGGCAATGGGTTTGGTTTTCTGGTTTAATGAAACTAGTATTATATTACATTTACTTCTGTCTTGCATATTAGAATAAAGCTATGTTAACAGACTGATAAATCCTGATAGTTTGACCTAACATTCTTCTATTTAATAAACTAATAGTCCTACCAAATGTATTGGTAAAATACTTCTATTAATAGAAATATTGTAAAGTCCTATGTAGAAAAAATAAACGTTATACTTGTGGCAGAGCATAGAAGCCAGCATTAATGGGGAAGTGAGGAAAATCAATGCAAAGGCAATTACTCTAATAACTGAGTTGGTATTAAGATCAACACTCGGGTTCTCTTCAGGATTCTTCTGGTTATACTGATGAATTGAGGAGTGCTTATAGATACTTGTCATACAGGAGGTGCATCATAGTGGGAAGGCTGGAATCTTTGGACACAGAAAGACCTGAGTTTTTCCTAGCTCTACCATTTGGTGTGAGATCTTCGGTGGCTTCATTTGAATTGAAAATAAAGCATATGGGACGTCCAGGCAACATGGCACTATAGATAGAAACACTACACTGTCCCTCCACAGCAAAGACCCAAAAAACTAAGTCAGAGTTAAACATCAGTCCTGAAGCCCTAAGCATTTAATGAAGAGATAAAGAACTCAGCCAAGCACCAAATGGAATAAGAAACTGACAGAGAACAGAGAGCAAGGAGAGATATGTCCAGAGGTCCCCATCAGCTAACGCAGCATGGATTCTCCATCTTGGACTCCTGTCAGAGATCAGCAAACAGGGAGAACAGGAAAGCAGCTTTACGGAGCTCCCAGAAGGAGACAAAACAACCATATGTGCCACAAACAACCCATCCCAGCAACTCCCCTGCAGCTGGACCTGTCCTGCTGCACCATGGCTAAGCAACTGACCCTGCCCATTGTACAAGGAGGCAAAAAGTATCATGCCCGCAGACGAGCAAACAACAAAGAACGCACAGCCCTCCTGCTCAGACATAACTAAATAAAAAAAAAAAAGACTGAAACAAACAAATCTACAATCAGTAAACAAGGAAAATAACTACTGAATGTCCTATAGACAGCAGACAATATCAAAACATATTAAAAAAACAGGACAGGATGGTTCCAGTAGGCTTCCAAAATAAAACACCAGATGACTTTCCAGTAGAAGAAAAGGCACTAGAACTACCTGTAGGGAATTCAAATCTCTAATATTCAGAGCTATTCAAGCGTTGAGGCAAAAAGCAGACAAAAATGAGGAAAAAAATAGACAAATTCATGGAAAATACCAAAAAAAGGAAGAATTCAAGAAAATAATGCAGGAACAAAATGCCAAAATAAATTCACAACTAGAAATCATACAAAAACAAAAATTAGAAATACAAAAGATAAACAACAAGATTTCAGAAATGGACAGTGTCATAGAAAGGCTGAGGAGCAGGTTTGAAATGATAGAAGACACAATCAGTGAAATTGAAGACAAACACTTGGATACAACTCTGTTCGAGGAAAAATCAGAAAAATAACAAAGGAAAATGAAGAAACCCTGAGAATTATGTGGGATACAATCAAAAGCAAAAATTTGTGAGTGATCAGAGTTCCAGAACGGGGAGAAAACAGAAAAAACAGGATCATTGAAGAACTGCTTATAGAAAACTTCCCCAAAATCATAAGAGATGAAAAGCTAACCATCCAAGAACTCCACGACCCCATATAGGATAGACCCCAAAAGAAAATCACCAGGACGTATCATTATCACACTCACTAAAACCAAAGACAGTGAAAGAATCCTGACAGCTGCTCCAGAAAAATGAAAAGTCACACACAGGGGGGAAACAATAAGACTAATCTCTGATTACTCAACAGAAACTGTGCAGGCAAGAAGGCAATGGGATGATGTCAAAACCTTGAAAGAAAAAAATTGCCAGCCAAGAATAATATATCCTGCAAAACTCTCATTCAGATACGATGGTGAAATTAGGACATTTCCAGATAAACAGAAGTTAAGGGACTATGTAAAAACCAAACCAGACTTTTAAGAATTATTAAAGGGAGTCCTTCAGTGTGAGAACAAACAACATCAGATCACAGGTTGAATCTACGACACAGGATTATACCAGCCAGATACCAACCTAGGAAATGAAATCTCAAGGATTATCCAAAACCAAAAGAATTATAGCAGGGAACCAGAGAGGTTAATCTGTAAATGACAACAACATCAGAACAATAAAAGAGGAAATAAATGTGTAGGTATAGAACCTTCTAATGCAGAGGAAGGCAAGGTGATACCAAGTAATAATAGACTGGTTCAAACCTAGGAAGATAAGAGTAAATTTCAAAGTAGCCACAAAGAAAGTTAACAAACCTACTCATCAAAATACAGAAAAAAAAACAGTCTCAGTAAAAATAAACCCTACGAAAACAAAAGAAATGGAAAAAAATCCACAAACAAAAGAAATTCAGCACAGGAGAGTGAAAGGAACGGAGAAAACATCAGCACCACAAAAAAAAAGCACTACAAAATGACAGCAGTAAATTCACACCTATCAATAATTACACTGAATGTAAATGGCCTAAATGCACCCATAAAGAGACAGAGAATGACAGAATGGTTAAAAACAACAGGATCCATCAATATGCTGTCTACCAGAGACACATTTTAGAAACAAAGATGTAAACTTATTAAAAATCAAAGGATGGAAAAAATATATCAAGCAAACAGCTACCAAAAAAGAGCAGGAGTGGCAGTACTAATCTCAGATAAAATAGACTTTAAACAAAATCCACCATAAAAGACAAAGACGGACACTAGATAGTGATTAAGGGGAGGATCCATCAGGAAGACATAATTATAATAAACATCTACGCACCCAATGATAGGGCTCCAAAGTACATAAAACAAACAACACCAAAAAGAGAAATTGACAGTTCTACGATAATAGTAGGAGACTTCAACACACCACTCTTAGTAAAGAACAGAACATCCAGAAAGAAACCCAACAAAGATACAGAAGACCTAAAGGGCACAATCAGTCAAATTGACCTCATAGACATATATAGAACACTCCACTCAAAAGCTGCAAAGTGCACATTCTTTTTCATCACACATGGAACATTCTCCCAAATAGACCACATCTTAAGACACAGAGCAACCCTCAAAAAAGTTGAAAACACTGAGACAATACAAAGTATCTTTTCTGACCACAACACCATCAAGGTAGAAATTAACAACAGGAAGAGCAAGGAAAAAAAATCAGTTACATGGAAACTAAATACCACCCTGCTTACAAACCACTGGGTAATAGAAGAAATCAGAGGTGGAATCAAAACATTCCTAGAATCAAACGAGAATGAAAACACATCATACCAAAACCTTTGGGACACAGCAAAGGCAGT